TTGTTTTTTTTATTAACATAAACAGAAAACTAGAAAGCGAGAACGAGATAGAAAAAGATAGAAAGGGATAAGATAATAAAAAGAGAGGAGGAGATAGAGGAACGTATACTCGAAAAGCTTAAGCTTAAACTAAAGAGTTCAACAACTGGATGCAAATTCGTAGCAGTTCGCAATTAACCGTAATGCGAAGGTGAAGTTTTAGCAAGTTTTATTGTGCCCTAGCACTCGTCGAGTACTAATAAATTTCGATAAGGAGATCGAGCACGGTTTTTTCATTCTTTCGATCAACAAAGCTCCTTCAAAATTGATGGAATTCGTTTTACCACAGAGCGCGCACCCACAAGAATAGAAAGAAAAAGAAAACCAAGGAAAAGGGTAAAAGAAATGGTCCGAGGGAGGGGTAGAAAGAGGAAGGAGAACTTTGCTTATATATATGTATGTATATTCGGATCACGCTCCTTTCATCGTAGGGAACGAAAAAGAAACGCACACGTCGGTCTTTCGTAAATTATACACTCGGTCATTACTACTGTGTAAACATCGTTGCAGCAAGGGGACACTGTCTCTCTCTCTCTCTCTCTCTCTCTCTCTCTCTCTCTTTCTTTCTTTCTCTCTACGTGTGCAGTTCGTTCAGATCGAGACTCGATAACTCTTGTTGAGAGAAAACGTGTTCCTCGGTGACATCGTCGAATTACCACGCTCGATATTTTCAAAATGAACTTTTCGAATCAATATATATATGTGTAATGTACAATCTATATATATAATTCACCCCTAATGCATACTAAGGATTAATAATTAATATTATAGTATTACATATAATAAAAGTATATATATATATATATATATAGATTCATCAGGATACATCATTTTTAAATGTACATTGAAGGATTATAAAATTTGTAAAAGTCTTAAATAGTAGTTCTAATTTTGACGATCAATGGAGTAAAATTACGCGATGCAAATAATAACCATCCTTTAATTGAAAGTTCAACGTCAAAAGTTCAAAGGTTAATCGTTCTTCGTACGTACACACATACGTACATATATACGTACAATTGTTACATTTCCTATTCGTATATATGTACATGTATCTAATACATATATGAAGATTGTAGATCGACACATCATATCAATGGTCGGCACAGTCCTATTCCTTCTCCATTTGTACAGCTGAAAATGAAAGATAGACGGAACGAACGTGTGTACTCAACTCATTGATCGAACTGTCAACGATTGGGAACGCCGATAATTCTTAGTCAATTTCGAGAGTCCAACTCTCGACAGGTTTTCCTATCAGCGATTGTGAAAAGATAAAATTGATTGCACCATAAACGTACTTATACATATACATATTCGCAAACATGTAAATACATATAAAAATATAGAGTGTTCCTATTTTTTTCCATTTAACTATACCAGAGTATTCTACGAATAAAAATAAAAATGTTTCGCTAAAAAGTTATGACAAAAATATGAAATAACAATGTATCGGTTTTGTCTGCTATTCCATATATTACGCCAATGGATTTTTAATTGTAGGAAATATATTAATATTAAATCTACTGATAATTTATGTATATCCGTTTATACCGTAACTAATCCAATTACCCGATTTCATTAACATATACAAATGAACAAGAAATTTGAAATGTAATCAACTCAATTTTGAAAAGAAATCAAACCTGTAATTATAAGAACAGAGTAACACTTCAAAATGGAATTAATATGTAAATTAATATCACACCAATCTATTTTTCGGCACAACTTTTTACCAAAATATTTTTCTAGTCTATGTTTATATAAAATTCGCCTCTTATTTTTTTCGTAGAATATGCTGGCACCGTTACGCGAACAAAATACGTAGGGATACCCTGCATATTTACTATCGATCCTTTTTCTATGAAATCGTTTGATGACGGAAAATGTTTTCTTCAAATTAGAGTAAATAAAAAGTTCTTTGTTTTTCTTTCTTATCGTTAAACGAAAATTACTTATCGAAGTTGAATCAATACGCTTTTATCAGTGACCAAATAATATCTCATCACTGAAAACGGTAATTCAAGCTCAAACGAATTTAACGTGATAGGAATTTCTAAATGCAGAAACGTAATATCACTTTTAGAATTTACTCTTAGGATATCGCGAAAAAGAGATTATTTTTAAGTGTAAAGGTGAATGTTTACTCATAGATAATTGAAATATGTGGAAGATAATACAAAGATAAACTTTTAATCGAATGACCCCTTATGTGTCGGAAAACAATTGTACATCTCATTAATTACAAAAAATACATTATTAATTGGATCAATTTTTACGTGATCAAGTAAAACAGACAATAAATAATTTACAAATAAATGCACATAATACATATGAAACATTTTATATTATTTTTATTATTACGTATTACTAAATTTTATATTACTTTTATTATTCATTTCCACCGATTTTATTCCTAAACTTTACCTACAAAATTTTCTCTTTATATTCTCTTTATTCTAATAACATTCACTCATAATCCCTTAGACGTTCATCAAAAAAGAACTAACAAAAACAACTCGTAGTGTCTCAGATAAGACCGAATAGAAATTACCGGTGTCTAACGAACGAAATCTAATTACGGAAATAATTAGAAAAAGATGAAAGAGGGAAGGAGGAAATGAAATATAAAAGAGAAAAAGGAGTAGAAAAGCAGAGGGTAAAAAGGGAAGAATAAAAAGGAAAATACGAGGAAAGCAAGTGAGCTTAAATAAGAGAGAGAGAGGGAAAAATAGATAAATAGATAGATAAAGAAAGAGATAGAAACGCCAATAAAACCACAAGAATCTTCCGCAATCGGATTACTGCTTAAGAGACGATCCTAGTCGGTTCTTGTTCTCCTTCACAGTTTTACAGTCGCTCCTGTAAACTTTATTATCCCCGTCTGGAATTTCTTTTCCCTTTTTCTTTCTCTCTCTTTCTTTCTCTCTCTTTCCGCAAAGTATATATACCACCAAGAGTTTGGGTACTTCGATGTCACGAACTTTTAATAACATCGTTAAGAGTGCGAACGTTATACGGTTTCTAGCACGATATATCAGCAGCTCCTAGAGAACTCGGAGAGCAATTGGAAAGAAAAACAAGGACGAAATTCGATGAACTTTAGCATACAGTGTTACTATTAACTCTTTGAGTTTGCCCCTGATAAACGTTCGCATTCAATTATCACTTTTCAAATAATTCATGATTCTTGATATAACTATGCCTGGATATATATATATTATAATTTTTGGCAAATACTTCTTTTATATTAATATATGATACATCTTTTTTGTAAATGAAACAGTAGTGGTATTTGATGGCGTATCACTATCCGTTTTATTTATTAGTTAGTAATAAACGATTGTTCTTCCATTCTTTAGTTAACTTTTCATATAATTCATCTGTACTTTGTTTTTGTGATGCCGATGATTCGTATACTGTTTTTTTTTGCATGTTTAGCTGAACCTTGAGGTAGTAAAAAAAGGGGATCTTTACTTACAAGTTCAGCTATTAAAAAAGCAGCGCTAGATGCTGAGCATGAAGAACTAACTGATGAAAGAAGAGAAAGTCTTGAAGGAATTAACTGAAACAAATGCGGATTACTGTTAACAGATCCTGGAGAAGTATCCTTGTTATCATTTCCAGAAACATCAGCTAATGAAGCAGAAGCTATAATTTTCTTCCGATGAATCCAAAATCATTTTTTCTTCATCTTCATCAATTTCAACTAATGTTGGTCTTATCTTCTTATTTTGGAGAATCGTTGCCTTATCATAAACTACTTCGATACTTTTACGTGATTTATTTAGGTAAGTAGTCGCAACAGGTTGTTCTGTGTTTACTGTTGCTTCATCTTCTATTATTTCTTTATTAATATTGTTCTTACACTCTAAATCAATATCATCGCCATCAATATTTTTAGATGTTGAACTCTTATCATCTTTTTTACTTGAAGAAATAGATGATTCTTGTTAATTTATTTCTTTAGAACTATCTGAAATATCAGAATTTAAATTACTTTTCCCAGTTACATCTATTAGTGATATTTCTTGGCTTTCAGATAATTCTTTTTCATCCCTAATTGTCATTGATGGAACATCTGAAGTATTTTTTTCATCTGTATTATTTGTACTAGCAACAGTAGTTGTAGTAGTAATATGATGGTGTGGTGGTGGTGATGGTGGTGGTGATGATGGTGGTGGTGGTAGTGATGATGATAGTACTAATAGTAGTAGTAGTAGTAGTATTCCTTTGACAGTACTCGTGACGTCGTCGTCGTCGTAAACGAATCGACGAGCACGTTGCTTCGTTTACTACGATTTCTCCTGGTGAATCGCGCTATAGCAGTAGTACTACGCGCATTCGTGTAAAGCCGTACATCTTCGGGAATCGACGCAACGATCGGGGACTATTTCGCGTGCGCTTGACTGATCGAGTCAAATGTACACATATATACGTATATACTTCAATTAATCGAACGAAATATCGACTCTAAAAGTAAGAGAAGAAAACAACAAGTACATAAATGTACACGTATACACATCTCCACCCCCACAAATATTAAAATTTATAATAATTAATATCGTTCTTGTTTTTCATATACTTATGTTTGCGAAGTTATTCCGTGATTATTTAAACGACGTGCCTATAAAAAAACGAAATTAATTATTACTAGATAAACACACAAAAACCGGTTTTCTTTTCCGTTTAATTTTTATTTTTCCAAATAGAGAATACGGGACAAATATACATTATGACTCAATATATAAAATTACATCTTATAAATTGACTATATATATATATATATATCTTTCTCATTCTCGTTCTCGTTCTCGTTCTCGTTCTCTTTCAATCGATCTGACAGTCTCGCATTTGAACTCCCCGCCGTACCGCCCTCTTTCCAGAGTGAGCTCACGCGCGCAAGGTATACGCAGAAAGATAGAAAAATAAAAAGAGAAAGAAAAAGGGATGATGCTTACCTTTTCCAAAATTGTCTACACGACGGGAGTTTCCTGTTACATTCCAGAGACTAACGTTGCTGTGTAGTAGTAGCCAACACCACCACCGTTCCTGTCACGATTACCGTCTCGATACTCTTCTCTCGATGTTGAGATGATAGTCGTATGAGGCGCGGCCACTGCTTCGAGATATTTTCTCTTTCTCTTCCTCTCTGACTTTTATCTTTTTTTTTCTCTCTCGCAACGAACCGGTCACCGAATCTTCACACTATCCTATTATTTTATTAAGATATATATTATACGTGTACATAAGAAGAAGAGAAACAGAATTTCCTTTCAAAGTTCTCTCACCGTATTCGAAAAGAAGTTAATAGAGGCGCGCGCGTGACTCAAATGCACGCACTGTGTTCCTCGGGTTGGTTCGTTGGGTGCGCGCGCGTGCGCACGCGCTTGTGTATATATCTCTGTCTTGCTTCCTCTTTCCTTCTTAATCTCTCTCTCTCTCTCTCTCTCTTAACTCTTCTTTTTAGATAAGGCCGTTTAACCGTACCTCGCACACAACGATCTTGCCAGCAAAGAACACTTAGGTACTTTTTGCTTACTTATACGCACGCATATACGATACACACACCCGACTGCACCAATAGAAAAGACGCGCACGGCCAACCGAATGGGCCGGAACTGACCCTCGTTCTTTTTCAACGACGAATCTCGGAAAAACACGCTTCTACTCCCCTCTACCTTTCTCTCTCTCTCTCTCTCTCTCTCTCTCTCAATCTTTCTCTCTTTCCACCACCCCCTGCGACTCCCTCTGAATTACCGCCGACAGTCACTGCCACCGGCGCGTTATTCTTGCTTTTGCCGTCGTTATTGTTGCTGCTGTTGCTCTTGCTATTACTTTTCCTCTTGCTCTGACTACTCTTGATTTTTCTCCAATTATTTTTACTAATACAATTTCGAATCTTTCGTTAGCTTCGTCGTAAAATCTCTGATAACTCTGATAATGATGATGGTGTCGATTAGAATTGTACCCACCCTCGCCACAAGTTCCTCTCGAGATTCCGTACATCTCCCGAACACGACGTGTGCGGACTTTATTCTATCTTTTGAGTTCTCTTATTCGTCTCTAAAGTGATCAAGGATATGAAACTCCGTCTCTCTTCGACAGACGCCTTCTCTTTGACGCGTGTTCCCTTTGAAGGTTCAACGTACAGCCGCCCACCGAATAGCTCAATGGCCCATCGTCCATGGAGACGTACCGATCATGCCGATCGACGTCAACTTAACGCGTCCTTCTTCCTTTTTTTTTCTTTTTCTTCTTCTTTTTCTTTTTACGTTTCTGCGTCCTTCCTTCTCTCCTTCTCCTATTCAATCACCGCCACCACTACCGCCACCACTACCACCACCACCTTCTCCTCTTCCTCCTCCTGTTTCTCTTACTGTACCTTCCGATCGTGTGACACACGATCCCAATCAGGCCCTTCGGCCCTCCGAAAGTCGTCGAGTCTTCGACTCTCGCGACACCGTACGCACTGTACGTGCGGCTTTTAGTAAAACAAAGATAGAAAAGCAAAACGACAGACACTCTTCTTCTTATTATTCTTATTCTTATTCTCCTTTCTCTTTTTATTATCTTTCTCTTTTATTTTGTTCCCACCGTCTTTGAAAAGATGACTACTACTATCTACTATTATTATTATTATTACTATTACTACTTCTTGACTACTTTACTACTACTACTCGTTCTCTCGAATCATCGGGACCAAATGAACGCGTTACGCGCTGGCACGGCCCACGTCCTCGATCGAACCTTAGAATACGATGTGATATTTTGGGGTCGGCCACGCACACGTGCGACAATCGTAAAGTTAAACGACGGAAGCGCACCGAAAGCTTTTGTATCGTTTAAAGTATATTCCGCTTTTTTTTCCCTTCTCCCCTTCTTTCTTCTCTCTTTTTCACGGAGACATACCCGACTCGTCTCCTCCTTCGCCAACGCCTACACGATACACATTGCACGCAGAGCAACGACGCCCCTACACGCTGATGACAGCGGTTCTCAATTGACACTACGTGGATACTCCTCTATCCTCAATGTTTACTTATTTTGCCGACAGAGCACGCCTCCCCTACGTGGCAAATTTCAAAGAAGGGGGTGGCTAACGAACTCCATTGGTTCAATGATTTTAACTTAACTATTCTTGCTCTCGTCTATTATTGATACTAATACTATTCTTACTTCGAAATGGCATTATAGTATTAAATATAAAATACATCATGTTATTAAAAATATTTTTTAATACATAATATAAATGAATTATAAATACAAAATTTTATTATAATTCAAATTACCTGAGCGCTCTTAAAGCTGTGGTTCTCTAAGACACCAACGACATTGAAAACCATCTTGGAAAATAATTTATACATAATTAAAATAAAATTTATATACAAAAGAAAATAATATATATACAGTTACTTTTATTTATTATTATATTAATATTAAGTTGTGTTTTTGTATAATAATAAAAATAACTTTACATTGATAAAAATTATACGGAAAGTATAACGTAAAGATATTACGGAAAGTAACTAGCATTTGAATGAAAGTAACCAATAAATGAACTGAACTAGTTACATTTTCTACCGGAAAAGTTCCATTGAATTCATTAAATAAATCTTTATTTCTAATATTTAACTTTCTAAAAAATCGATAAAACAATATTATTAACAAATAAATACGCTATAATAAATTTGAGTTTTTCATAAAGTCTAAAAAATTATATTTCCAAAATTTACTAAACACTTTCCTATTGGCTACTTTTAATATTCAATCAAGCAGAATAAGAAACGGATTGAAAAAATATATCTAACTTCACCATCTATGTTTCTAAGAGTAAAGTATAGTGTAACCTACGCAATCGTAAAGTGGCGATGGCGTTTTGTGTTTTATATTCTTTTGTGAATAAAACCTGGAGTTTGTGCGCATTTTATAATACGATATCAATCTATAATTATAATTTTTATCTTTTCAAAGATCTTCGAGATATCATTGTTTCCTCGTTATAATATTATCGAAGATTAAAAATTAGGGCAGGTAATAACGAGAATCAAAAAAATATTAAAGAAGAAGCCTCCTCGTTAAAGGAACAGCCGGCGAACGTGACTCAGTTTAAGCAGCAAATGTAATATTCTGGTATTAACGACGACATATTGTTGAGAATAGAAGTTGAGACAACAGATGCGTTAAATACTGGCAAGTTTTATTAATATTTATTTCTTTAAAAGATTTTATTATGCAAATACGATCTTCCCGCCGTAACCTTTTATGCTTCGTAACAAGTAGTATTACTACCAACGCATTTTTTAGCTTTCGCCATGTGATCTCTTATGTAAATATATACGCATGTGCATTACTTTTTTATTACATTTTTAATTTTATTTCTTATTTATTTCTTGTTTTCTCCTTTTTTTTTTTGCAATAACATAAAATATATATTTGTTTCTTTCAATGCTGTAACAAAAATATTAATTAAAAATTACAAATACAATTTTCAACAAAATTATTCTATACAAAGTAGTTAACAAATGAATGTTTAAATTATAGAGTACATGCAAAGCATTCATAGAAATGTCAGACATAAGAAAAATTGAAGATTCTACGATGGAAACTCAAGATACTTATTATGAAAATTCAAAAGATGATATAAATAATAGTCAGAATTTTCAACTTGTTGATACAGATGAAACAGATTTGTCTAAAAATAAATTAGACACTCAGTCCGAGACTGATAATTTAAAAAATAAAGACGATTCTAATGTGCAGCAGAATAAATCCCTCAAAGATATTGCAGTTGATGAAGCAAAGAGTAACATAGAAAAGAAAAGCGAAATTGTAAGCGATGAAAAAGTAAATACTGAAGAAGGTAGTTGTAAACTTGATAACCAAAAGGATGATACGGATGATGAAAATGATATCATTCAAGGTACACCTCCCGACATGTTATCTTCACCTAAGAAGGAAGTTCACGATAGATCAGAAAATATAGGTCTTAAACGTAAAATAGATTCTACCGATAATTCTGTTACTAAGTTTTTGAGAAGTTCACCCTTGGAAAATGCATTAAGTTTAGAGAAAAGCAAATTTCATAGCAACGATAGTCAACAGTCAAATGAATCAGATGACTCTCAACCAAATATTGTAAGAAGTTGTATGTTATCAGATGTAATAATAGAAGAAACTCAGGATGTAGAAGGTGAAGAATTTATAGAATCTAGTAAAAAAACTTCCGATATTATCTTAAATGAAGCCAAAGATGATCAAAACTATGAATCATGTCCTGTACAGAAATTATTAGATAAGAATGAAAATAATGCTAACAAAATTTGTGAAATAAATCAAAACGAAACTATAAACAATCCTACTACATCCGATACAGCTACTAATGTAACTACTATTACCACTGTTACTACTACTACCACTGATACTATTGCTACTACTAGTACTAATCCTACTACTAGTACTACTACTACTACTACTACTATTACTACTACTACTAGTACAAATAATACAGATGAAGAAAATACTTCAGATGTTCCATCAATGACAATTAGGGATGAAAAAGAATTATCTGAAAGCCAAGAAATATCACTAATCGATGTAACTGAGAAAATTAATTTAAATTCTGGCATATCAGATAGTTCTAAAGAAATAAATGAACAAGAATCATCTATTTCTTTAAATAAAAAAGATGATAAAAGTTTAACATCTAAAGATATTGATGATGATATTGATTTAGAGCGTAAGAACAATATTAATGAAGAAATAGTAGTAGATGAAGCAACAGTAAACACAGAAAAACCTGTTGTGACTACTTTCCTAAATAAATCACGTAAAAGTATCGAAGTAGTTTATGATAAGGCAACGATTCTCCAAAATAAGAAGATAAGACCAACATTAGTTGAAATTGATGAAGATGGAGAAAAAATTATTTTGGATTCATCGGAAGAAAATTATATAGGAAAAATAGGAGAAAAAGAAGTTTTTGATACTACAAATAATTATAGAAGTTGCTATGATAATAAAACAAGTAGCGATTTCAGTTATAAACCTATAATTAGCAATAAAGAATCATTGGTAGATTTAAAATCTGATAAACATCATTTTAATGGAAGTAGTGAATGTAAGAAAAGTGATACAGATGGTACAGCAAGTATAGAGTCAGATACATTTAATAACGAATTGCATTCTACTATTTTTAAAAGCGATAATAATTTACTTTCTTTGAACAAAGAATTAAAAATATCTACTTCTGGATCTAAAAAGAATGATCATACAGATTTAATAAGCATAAGTGATATCGAACATGATGTTTCACTTATAGATGATAATAGTAATAGTAAATCTGAGTTAAATAATGCAAATTTACTTACAAAAGCTTTACAAGTAGAAAGAGAAGTTGGTGTGTATGTAAGACTTAAATGTTCGTTACATTTTGATGAAAGTACAAAAGAAATACTGAATAAGGAATTAACGAGTGTCCATTGTGAACCCATAGGAGAACTTTCATCCTTACGCTTAAAACCGGAAGATGCTTCTGCTTCATTAGCTGATATTTCTGGAAATGATAACAAGGATACATCTCCAGGATCTGTTAACAGTAATCCGCAATTGTATCAGTTAATACCTTCAAGACTGTCTCTTCTTTCGACAGTAAGTTCTTCAAGCTCAGCATCTAGCGCTGCTTCTTTAATAGCTAAACTTGTAAGTAAAGATCCACTTTTTTCACTACCTCGAGGTCCAGCTAAACATGCAAAAAAAACTGTATACGAATCATCGGCATCACAAAAACAAAGTACAGATGAATTATATGAAAAGTTAACTAAAGAATGGAAAAACAATCGTTTATTACTAACAGCTGTTTTAAATTATTTAAATACAGAACTGAATATGGTAGATCCTTTATATAACCTAAATAATGAAAGATTAGATGATGGTCTACAAAAACTTAGATGTTCTACGCCAGAAGATCAAGGAGAAATAGTAATACAAACAACTACACCAAAAAGTTCGAGGAAAAATAGAGCACCTAAAAGATCTCGATGTAAAAGTAATAGAGCAGGTGTACAATCAAATGGAGATTGTAAAATTCCACAAAAAGATATCATTTCTACCCAAGAAAGTAACGATACTCCTATTAGTAAAAAGAAAAATAAAATAGATAAAACGGATAGTGATACGCCATCAAATACCACTACTGTTTCATTTACAAAAGATGTATCATATATTAATATAAATGATGAATTGGTTGGTAAAGAAGTATTTGCCAAATGGTCAGATAATAATTATTATCCAGGCATAGTTACAGAAAAATCTAAATTAAAATATAAAGTAAATTTTTACGATGGAAAAAATAAATTACTCATAGAGGAATTTATTATACCAATACCAAAGACTTTAAAAGATGGTTTATCAATTTATGCGACTACAGCTGAAGACGATTATGGTTCCTGTGGAATAATAGTTGAAGTTCAAAACCTTAATAATGATATATATTATTTGGTAGAAACAGATGAAGGAGAAAAAGTTAAAGTCCAAATCAAAGACATTTTTTTGTCATCGGATCAAGCGTTAGTATTAAAGGAAATGTATGCAAAAGTAAACAACTTTCCAACTACGCCTAAGATTTCTGGTCAAATAAGTTTAGATAATATGGTAGATGGAAAACGGCGATCAAAACGAATTGCTACACCTACATTATCTACCCCAAAATCTAAGATATTTGCTGGTTGTTCTATTGAGAAAAATATCAATATATCGGAACCTTCTGTTTCTGGTATACCTTCTAAAACTAAAAAAATGGATTCTTCTGAAAATGAGAGTAAATCTAGCGATTCAAATTTATCTGTAAAAGATGAAAGTCTATTAAGTGGAATACAACCAGAAATTGTTGGTACACCGAACGAGCAGATAGTAAAAGGACCTCAACACAGGATAAAAGGGAAATCGCGAAGTAAGAAAAAGGTTGAGAATGAAGAAATTGTTGCAACGTTGGGTCCTATTCCAAACAACAATTCGACTTTATTTAAAGGCATGTCATTTATTCTTACCTGTGCATCGTTGGAAGTACTTGATAGGTTTAGAGTAGATAATAAAGATTCTGATTCTGAAACTGGAACAGAAAATGAAGAAGAATGGGTCCGTAGACCATTTGTAAGGGACAGGTTGAAAACCCAAATAGAAACTGCAAAGGGCAAGATATATGATGACTTTGATTTGATACCAAAGGAAGAATATAAAAACACTAAACTGATTACAAATGTGCCAAATACCACAGCAAAAAATTTATTGTGTCTTTCGGTCGGAATTTCTGCGTATAATCATAATTGGATTATACAATGTTGTCAAGAGGTTCATATAAACTTTATACTTTATAAAAATTATATTTATTTTAAACTTGATATATACTTGATTATTAATTTTTTATTTTCTTTTTTCAAGGACACGTTAGTAAATCCATCAGCATTTATCTTACCTGCTGGATGGAGTCTAGAAAAAGAATCTTATATTGAGAATTTTCAGAGGCCTAATACTAAGCCGTTAAATCAAGTAATAGTAATAATTCCAATTATAGAAACAGATAAAAAGTATACATCATTTTGGCGCCAAATATGTGAAAATGCAGGTGCCATTGTTTTACTGGTGGATGGTTCAGGTATTATATCTTTCGTATTAATTTTCAAATTACCTTCATATTCTATATTATTTTACGTACATATATAATGAAATAAAAAATATTATAATATCTCTATAATTTATAAAACGTTAATCCTTATAGAAAGTATGGAGGGATTTGCAGAGGGTACAGTAGTTGTTACTAATCACAGATGCCCTTCATGGGCTGTTACAAAAGCCGACAAATGGCAATTACCATTGCTATCTACGACATGGGTTATTCAATGTTTAATCGAAGGGAAAATCTGTGCATATAACTCGCATCCCCGTTACAAATACAATTACATGTAAAAATTAAAATACTTCTTCTCCAGCAAGGTGTTATTGACCATATCTGTAAGTACAACAAATATAGTTATGAACGAAGAATAAGAATAAAAGTATACATTTTGTTTATAAGTTTCAAATTTTTTAAAAACATTCAATTTTGAAGTATTCCTTCATATTTACGATTCGTTTAATTTATATATACGTACATTATAATATACGTTTAAATATATGCATATATATATTTAAACTGTATTTTTTAATAATTATAATTATATTAAATCACTCTTTATGAAATACTGTCTTATCAATCATGCTAATAATATATGATATTCCGAAACATATCTTTGATAAACAAGATTTAATTTATCAATAATAGTATATAAAATTATTCAAAATGTTATATATATTATATTCAACAATTATTATGGTTTTATCTGTTTCTGATATATAAAAAGTATGTGAATTGTAGATAAAATTAAATTTACCCTTTTCTAGTAGACTCATTATATTTTATTTTATTTTTTGCTCATTTCCTACATATATAAATTGTATATTCTCATGAGCTTATATTTGATTTATGTTTCAAAACAAATATTAACAAGTGGAAGATTACTTTACTTTTATTTCTTTGAATTAATTCATAAATTGTCGTCAATGTTTAATTTTGTTTTGTTAATTATAAATGCCTACATAAGTATTAACAAAAAAAAGAGCAAAAGAAAAAAGAAATTTGATAAATACTTCTCTGTATTTATGGTACTTACAGTGTTGGTATTGTTTCTCACAAAGCTGTAATATTAGAGTTTTGTAACATTTTGTATAAAATAAAATATAAATATATATCAATTTTATATGGTGAACGAGTTTATTATAAGGAATGTTTATAATGTCTTAATTACAAATTGTGTGATATTGAAATGCAACAAATAGATCTTGGAAATGAATGAAACATTTATAATTAATTTTCATATAGATATACACATACGTATAATTTTACAATGTTTTGTCTATCTATCAATGTTCTTTATGGTGCTTAATACCAATATGGTATTCTATCAAAACAGGAAGTCTTACAAAAGTGTCTTACAGATATCTGTGACATAAAAATAACACTCGTATTAAATCCTGTTAACATAAAATAATATGTACAACATGATCAATTAGTTGATTTAATTTTACAGTGATACAAATCATTAATGCGATAAGTGTTAATGTAATAACCATAATATCCAATTAATGTGACATTATAAGAAATAACATCTGTTTATAACAAATAACTAAATATAACTATTTATTCCAAAAAAAGTGATTATTTTTAACAATGCATATTACTACACTCATCTCATTGTGATTTGTATATAATAAATTTGAATACACGATTTATTGTAATTGAACAATGTATAAATTCAAATTTGAACATTTGTTATATTTTTAATCAATGGTTATGAAAAAATGTATTTTTTAAACATATAACGCGCAAAGAAATAATGCTTATACATTTATTTTATAAGATATCATTTGAATGTAATTTTATTTTATTTAATTATAATATTTACTTACGATTATATATATACATATATATAATTAAACTTAGCATATAAATTGAGTATTGATGCTTCCTCCTAAAGTGATGATAAAAGATACGTGCGAATCATACATAAACAGACTACTGTAACATCTTATTCTCTCCAATACTCAAATATTCTTATTTTTCTTTTTTAGTGTTAAGTCCGTCGTGCATTTCAAAATTAATTGGTACATCGAGAATAGGTGCACATGTACGAGTGTGTATATATAAATAAATATACGAATATTTACAATTTCTATTAAATAAATTATAGCCATTATGTAAAATATCTTTGGGATGAAATACAATTACCTATTTTGTCAACAAAATTTATTAATAATTCTACCCATCAACTGAAAATTCATTTTTTATTTGTAAACATAATTTAAATTACAATAATTAGTTAAATTAATTTATCATTACAATTGTATAATTGGAAATGTTATAAGCATCTCTCTCATTGACAAAAATAATTGTTTAATTACAAGTCTTATTATGTATTTACATTAACATTTATCTCATAGAATATGTTTATTTGTCTTTGCTCTATCTTATATAATCTATATATATATTGTATAATATTTTAAATAATTTAATTTATAAATTATACCAATCAAGGAAAAGTAAAGAAAATGACATAACTAATAGGAAAAATAGAATCCACACTCTAAGTCCAGCGTTCCTTTGAATAGCTTGTCGAATCTGTTCGTTAGCTTCTTTAACATTTTCAGTAGATCCAACGACTGTTGTCATTAAACGATCAAGATCCTTATCTTGATCTAATACTTTTTCTGTAAATATTTCCTGTAATTCAGCTATATGAACTACCTTGCTTTCAATTTGTCTGACCTCCTCCGTTATTGTACTAAGTTCATTATATAATTGTTCATTTTCTGACTCAAACATTTGGATGTCTTCGGGTGACAATTCTTCATATAAAAGAGTATTAACATCTTCATTAATTTCTTGAACTTTCATGGGATTTGATTTGTTCGAATTATTCTGGTTTTCTGTATTATTATTTGTTTTCATTGTTATATTTGAAGCCGACATTTTATTATCCATTGCTATAACTTTGTTCAGTTTTCCATCCAATTCAAGTTTAGAAATAGTTCTCATTTCTACGGCTCGTTTTACTCGCATTGCTTTCTGTTCCGAATAAATTTTACAAACATTTTTCAAATAATCTTCGATCATTAGTAAAACAATTTCACGATGTTCTATATTTTGTCTAGAAACTTCTGAAAATGCGATTTCTCTTTTCAATTCTTTAATAAGCTGCGAACAAGTACTCATAATCGTTTGTGCTCCTGCATCTATTTGATCACGATCCGCATCAGTCATACGTGGTATGTTTGTAAGATAATTGGTAAAATTCAAATAAGCTTTATGATTTTCTAGTATAAATTCTTTGAGTTTAGTTATTTGACCAACGACTGCTTGGGTTTTAATATAAAAAGCACTTTTATTTTTAGTCTTTTTCAATGACTTTGTTAAACTAGATGATCCTAAATTTTTTTCCTGCAAACTAACAGTTTTAACGCAAGCTCTGAATAATATACTGACATCCATCGTTGATAATATTGCTATTGAACTTGCTAACACTTTTTTAAATGAAAGTAATCCAGATTATAGAACTATTTATATTTTATGCCTGGAAAAAGATATGTTTATAAAAATAATGATCACCTTTTCTCCGATGCTTCGTATAAAAATATTTTCATTTAAGAATCTACAATCTAGATTGTTACATATAAATAATTTAAAAAAACTCAATTGACTTAATTTTAGAAATTAATATTCAATCTACTATCAAGATAAGTCAAAAAAAGTAAAGTCATATAAGGATAATGTTCATTTTATTACCTATTCTTACAAATGAATTCCAATATAATATTTTTAATAAAGGTCAACTCGTTTCGATTTATTATTAAATACAAACATTAATATATCGTATTAATTGAGTAAACCGATAATTATATGACCTTAACAATAATCTACATTCAACAAATATTTGTCGTGTGAAATTGTACCAACCATATTGTGCTATTGTTGTATCATCAAACATAACCTACAGGAATGTTCATAAGTTTAAAGGTAAAATGTTGTATATAAAGTTATGATATATAATATTATTGTGCAATTACAATCATTCGTGTGACTACAATTAAAGAAACATTAATTCTCTTAATCAATTTGTATTAAGTTTATTTTTATTTGTATCATAAAAAGATGTTATTAATTACTAATCGTTAATAATTTTATGTATATCCGGTTGACGTACCTTGAATTTTTACTCTCAATTATTATGAATAATATAAAATATAATCTTTGAGAAATTTAAATAAATAATACAGATAATAAAAACACTAATAGATTTTCCCTAACTTATAACGAGATGATTTCATTAAAATCTAAGAAGAAAATACATATAAAAATAAAAAAAATACATAATTTTATATTATATTTTATATATATATTGTTTTTACTACATTATTATAAATATTGTAAAAAAGTGTTATAAGAGCAACATTAGAAAAATTAATAATAACAATATAAATTTATTTTATTTTTATCGTGTTTGTATCTAGGGACCCTGCAGTTATCAAAATATGCAATAGTGGAGCGAAGTAGAAATTCTAGTAATATCTAGTATCGAAATGACAAGATGGCACGTCAGCAGCAAAACGATGTCGATGAGTTATTCGACGTAAAAAATCATTTTTATATCGGTAATTATCAACAATGTATCAACGAAGCACAAAAAATCAAAGTACGTAGATTATCTAATTTATACTGGTATTTTTTTTGTATGTTGCCAATTTACAGATTATTATTTCGCTTTCGCAACCCATACTACTGCATTAGTGCAATTTATTATTAAGTCTAAAATAATACTATTTTTTTTTACATGAAAAACAATATATTTTATTGCATATATATGTATATACATGTATAATGCTCAACAATTTTTCATAACAATAATTATCTTTTTCGTATCAATTTATTAATCAATATATTAATTCTCCCTGTAATGCTAAATGTTGAAAAAATTGCAATGTTTCTATCCATACTGCTTCTAATATTAAATCCTAAGTGTATATCTGTGAACACATATTTTTTGTAATAATAACAAATTATAAGATGCATCGTTATATATTTAAATTTCATATAAAATGTAATTATTAAATTATCTATAAGATCTTTACTATAACATATTTTATGCATAGTATATGTATTAACATAAAAAGTTAGCTTACATTATGCATAATAGAATTGTATTTTTCTTTTAATTACAGCCCTCTTCTCCGGAAGTGGCAATGGAACGCGATGTATTTTTATATCGTGCTTACATAGCACAAAGGAAGTTCCGTGTTGTTTTAGATGAAATTAATAATTCATCACCACCAGAATTACAACCATTGAAAACTTTAGCAGATTATTTTGCTAATCCATCACGTAGAGAAACAATCATTGCAGAATTAGATCAAGCTGCAAATCACACTAATTTAGATAATCATAATTTTATGATCGTTGCTGCTACTATATATTATCACGAAAAGAATTTAGAATCAGCACTACGAGTACTTCGTAACGTTGATCATTTGGAATGTTTAGCATTAACATTACAAATTTATTTGAAAATGGATCGGTTGGATCTAGCAAGGAAAGAACTTAAAACAATGCAAGAGAAAGATGATGATGCTACGTTAACGCAGTTAGCTCAAGCGTGGTTAAACATAAGTAGTGGAGGAGATAAGTTACAGGATGCTTATTATATATTTCAGGTATTAAAAAAGAAATGATATAACATTTATCTTCGTGTCATTATTAAACAAACTAAAAATTGATCGATTCGATTATCGAGATAAATTATCATTCACTAATTGTTTCAGGAAATGATCGATAAGCATTCCAGTACAAGTATGTTGTTAAATGGCCAAGCTACTTGTTTTATCGGTCAAGCAAAGTACGAAGAAGCTGAAACTGCTTTACAAGAATCGCTTGATAAAGATAGTAATAATCCTGACACCTTGATCAATATGATTGTCCTTTCACAACACATGGGAAAACCACCAGAAGTTGCAAATCGTTATTTAAGTCAACTAAAGGATTCTCATTTGGAACATCCGTTTGTTCAAGAGTATCTGCAAAAAGAAATTGAATTTCAAAGACTTAGAAAACAATATTCATCATCTGCCTAAATTAAAATGCATTCAGACTTTGGCATTCCATGGATCGAGTAAAATACAAGTATTAATGAGAATATTGAATCAGTTTTTGAATAGAGCGTACTACAGAATGTAGACAATATTTATGGGACAAAAAGCGTATGAGATTTTGTCATGAGGCTTGATTGAATGATAGTAAAGCAGTTTGCTCTTAAGCAAGAATATTCTGTTTTTATATAAATTTCTATGACATTATCAAAGAAATAAACGTACATGTCCAGAAATTTTTCCAAAATTAATCTTTTTATAATTAAAAAAACACTATTGTGATAAAATTGCAAAATTAAAAACAAAAAAGTTAAAAAAAAGAAAATAATATTTAATCCACATGAATTTAAACCACAACTCATGGTAATAATAATAATAATGTTTTAAAAATAAAAGAATCACGTGTGGCTGCCATTTTATAGTACAGTCAATAAGATATTTCTGATATGCAATTTTTTCATTTTGCATGTATCATCTTTTTTATCATAGAAATTTACGATTAGTTATATACATACATAGGTATATACATATAACAAGTAAGTTATTGTACTATATATTAGTTTGCAATAAAGGAAGGCTACAAGCACTTTCTTTTTTATCTTAATATTTCGTTGAAAGGAAAAATAAAATATGTAGCTTATACATAATAACAATTATAAAATCATAACTTTAGAGAGTCATTATTACTTTAATTTGGTGAACAATGTAATTAATAATTTTTAGTTAATTTTCAACGACAAGCATTAGTTGATTTTTATTATTTTTTGTATATTGTTAATTTATCATTATTAATAATACAAATTGTAGAAATTATTAGTTAACATCATCATGATCTTATTTATTGTTTCATACATATATACATGTGTACGAATAGAATCACTTATTATAGTATTTTTGAAAGGTAAATATATGTATAAGCATAATTATTTAAATGTTAGAAGTTTGTAAAATAATTATAAATGTAGATAAAGAAGATTTTATAAATGAAACATCTCGGTCGGTATTTGAAAACTTGACCAGTAATGCTATCTAACAATAATTATTAGAAACATGCAAAGTCAGTCGAGAAACATCCATATTACGTCAAAAGAATTCGAAAATTTAAACGTATAATCGGTATAATAGAAAGCTTAAGATCCGTGTAGTTTGCTCGTGAACGTTGTACTTGTTGCGCTTAAAAAGTATTATTCATAACTCCCCCACAAGTTCTCCCTACCTACCTCAGTAACCATAAAATAAGAATAAAGATTAAATAAGATAAACGTCTCCAAAATTGAACATATTGAAATATTAAAATCGTGTTGTTTACTATATCAGTTTGAATTAACCGAAAAGAAAAAGAAAAACTTGTCGAAGGATGCATTGTTACATTAAGGACATATTATCATAACATGGCGAATGAAAGCAGGTATTTATTTGTGCAATCATTTTATTAGAAGACTTAGCAGCAATTTTATGGATGCTTTTGACAGCTTTGATTTTGCTTGTTTTTTTTAAGTAGAGATTGATTTGCTATCGCTCGAACGTTTGTTGTAAGCATTTGTATGCTACATTAGTAAGTTTGAAAACGATCATTTTTAGATCTAATTTTTTTTTTTCTTGTTTTTATTTTTTTCCAAAAACCTTTAGATATTTATCTCAGATCGAAAACAAGTTTCACGTTTGATAGGCGTCCGATCAGCTGAAAGCCAACGATAATTCTCACTTTTTCTAAATCGACATAACCTAAAATGTTCGATAAAACTAATTAATTTTAAAATCATAGATTTTTCCAAATTTAGTTAATCGTAGGCTAACGAATGTCTTTTAAATTTATGTCATGAAAGATAACTACATTTTCTTTTCTTTATTTTAAATATATATTTTTATTGTACATATCATCTAAGAAAAGTAATAATTAGTTTCTCATATTTTTTATTATTATTGTGATTGTTAATACTTTTTGATACGTTTTAATATATAGAAAAAAGATTTGCATGGTACACGTTAATATCTTCAATTAAAATTTACATCTTAATTATTTATTTATTTATTCTGGAATTTAAAAGGTAACATAATTAGAGGGTGTGTATTCTAAAACAGACATTTTTTTATATTTTCAGGGAATATAAAGGCTTTTGTAAATTATAGTTTAGTTAGGAGCCACTACTCCAAAAGATCAAGTATAATTTGTAATTTAAAGATAGCAAACTAAATTGTAGTCAAATTTTATTAAACAGAAGGCCTATAGAAAATTTTCTTTGACAACACATATTCCATAAACTAATCATAAACTCACAAAGGACATCAAAATATATTTATATATATAAAGATAACAAAGAACAAGATATATGGGTTAAAAGCAGAAATTTCATGGTTTATAATCATACGTTTTAACTTTTTAATATAAATACGATGCATAAATATTGATTATGCTGTTGATTCAATATATAATTTAAAGAAATCAAATATTTTGAATAGATCTGCTAATTATTTATATTTTGCTTTTTCTTGTACATTGCTTGTTTTGATAATACCATGACAAAATATTATTGAGTTAAATGGATTAGTTATTTTGATCTTTGAATATTTATTTCATTGCGATATCATTGTTTGTTTTAATATGTTATTATTAAATACAGAATATATACTGTGTTAGTGTATTTTGATATATTAATGTGAATAGAAAAATTAAACTCTAATAACGTAATTAATATAAATAAATATAACGGTAAATTAAGGATAATGCGCTTATGTGAAAATAATAATAATAATAATAATAATAAAACAGAAGTAAAATTATTTGCTTTTATATCTTGTGCCTTGAAAATATTAGATTATCGTTGTAAATAAAGTTGAATGATATATAAAGTTATTTTGAATTGGAATGTTAAAATAGGTACAACGTTCATTTGTAACACAATTTAGTGTTCCGTTAGAATTATCAAGAGCAAGCTTCTTCTTAGTGCTTTTTAATACTATATTAATTATGTATCACACTATGTATCCACCACAAATGATGGTGCAGATTATGGGTGGCCAACATGCAAACGGACAATATCTATCAACACCAACACAAATGGTACATATTAATGGTACAAATGTATTATCAACGGCAGAATATACGCAATATATACCTGATGTGTCTGGCCATAATAGACATCATATGATGCAGGTATTTCTTTAATATTACATAGCTTTGTTAGAGGCTTTTTACGATATGGTTTATTATTTTTAGTTTGTAATGATTTGTCATTATTATTTTATATAATAACATTTTTTACAACTGCTTCGCATTGGTAGCCACATTAACATTACTATTTCTTTTATTAATTTTGAATGAATATTTTTAAGAAACTAACAAATACTTTCCAGACTGGAAGTTATTCATTGGAGTTATTGCAATTAATGGGTGTTGATATTCCTTCATTGCGGCACATAGATTATGTCAGTAATGTAGGTACTGGTTCGGGCTCAGGAAATTGGCCAAGGCGAATTATACCGCCGAATAACAATTCCCCTTTACAACCACCCACGCATCTAAATTTTAGACCATCGAATAATAATTCAATAAAGAAACAACATTGGAGTAATAAAACAAGTAAAAAAAGTTTATATAGAGAAAACTTTATGCATAATGATAAATATAATAGCGACAGTGGCTTTAGTTCCCGTTCTCCAACCCCCAGTAAATATCAAGCTGATAGTAGCCAGAATGAAAGTTCAGATGAACGGGATTCTATAACATCTTCAATTGAGCAAGGAATCAAGTAAGTGCAGCATACAAACATCTTTAATCAATTTTATTTGAAATAAATAATAAAACAATGACTAAAATCTATAGAATAAAATAATTTACTATTTTGTTGTAGAAAGTTGCATAGAGTGCAATCAGACTATAGTATTGTTAATAATAAAATTACAGAAGAGGGTTTTATTCCAAGTGCTTCAGCACATCAATTTTATCAAAATCAACGACCTATTAATTATTATCCTGCTTTTTCAACTCCTAGAACATTACAAAATTATCAGAATAAAAGGAGGTATCAAACAGGTGATTAAAATATTATTTTATTTATATTATCGTAAGAAATCAGATATTTTTATTTTATTTTAATCAAATAGAAATCGATGCATTGATTGTAGGTAAAGGTAGTCCGCCCCCTCCGAGATCTCAACGGAGTAAAAAGTTCACAGGAGTGATATTACCAGGTTACAGTATGTTTCCTAGGTACTATACTGCTCCAGATCGATTTCTTGCTAGATCTCATCTCGTCGAAGTCAATTATACTCCAGCTGATTTAATAACTGGAAGCACGTGGGATAAGCTTTCACAGGACATTTGGAAGAAGTTTATAACAAATCAACAGACTGAAGTCGTTTATAGAAATAAAATGAATCTTTGGAAATATCTCTATGTTTTAATAAAGGTAAATATTCAGAAATGAATATATAAATGGAAATTTTTCTAACAAAAATATGTTTAAGTATTAATATAAATAGCGAAGTAAGAAAATAAATAATCTTCATTGTAATAAATATTATTATTAGGGAACATTTCCAAAATATGGATTATTTTTGGTCGGCTCTACAATGAATGGATTTGGATCTGACAATAGTGATGTAGATATGTGCTTACTAGTGAGACATACAGAAATGGATCAAAGAAATGAAGCTATTGGGCACTTAGATCAAATATTAAGATGTCTCAAACGATCTGGTAACATTTCCTATAATTTATTAACATTTCTGATAATATTTACACATCAATAGAATGGATCTAATTAAAAATAATTTCTATCTCTTTTATTGTATATTAGATATTATAACACAACTTGAACTTATACAAGCAAAAGTTCCAATCTTAAAGTTTCACGATGCTATGCAAAATTTGGATGTTGATCTTAATTGCAATAATGCTGTAGGAATTCGTAATACTCATCTTCTTTATTGTTATTCCCAAAGTAAGCGTGCAAGTAAATGAGAAGAATGTTTATTTAAAAATTCAATATGTGTACGTATATACATATATACACATATATATGCATTTATATTTATTTTTCAGTTGACTGGAGAGTAAGACCTTTAGTTCTAATTGTCAAATTATGGGCTCAATCTCAAGATATAAACGACGCTAAAAATATGACAATTTCTAGTTATTCCTTAGTTTTAATGGTCATACATTTTCTACAATGTATGTTTTTTTTTATAAGAGTATATAACTATGTTTTAACAAAAATTATTTTAATATATCATCGTATATAAAGGTAAATTTTTTTATATATCATAGGTGGCGTCAATCCTCCAGTTCTTCCTTGTTTACATTCTTTATACGTAGGAAAATTTGGACCACACACAGATATTCATTCCATAGACATTAATGAGAAATTAAACATTCCGCATTCATGGTTTTGCCCAAATAATCGTCAATCACTTGGGGAACTTCTTGTAGAATTTTTTAGATATTACGTCACATTCGAGTGAGTTATTTCTCACTATATAATTTCACTAACATTTTTAAATATTACACATTTGATAATTCAAATTGATCAGTTTCAGTCAATATGCTATTTCTGTGCGTTTAGCACGTAAAGTATTAATCGAGAATTGTAGGAGAGCACGATCATTGAAAAATGATCCACATCAATGGAAATGTCTATGTATCGAAGGTATGTAAGTGTTTAAACTAAAAATTCTTGATATTGATACACATTCATAAATGTTATATTATATTTTATAGAACCATTTGATTTGACAAATACTGCTCGGTCAGTATATGATCCGGATGTATTTGCAAGAATCAAGCTGATATTTGACTGTACCTATCAGAAACTAAAAGAAGGTTATAATTTAGCTAGCATCTTTGTTAAAGTAAACCCTATGTCATCTTATGTATGACATAATGATATCCTAAATGTTAGTGCTATAGGCGCTATATAGGATAATCAGGTGCTTCCACATATTTTGCATTAGCAATGGTCCTCTTTTAAGCTAGAGGTATTTTGAATATTTATCACCTAACGGTGTAAACAATGATATACACTGTGATGAAATAATTCTGAGCTCGTCTCAGTTTAAATGTGATCATAATTGTGATAATAATTTAGCATGAATTCATCTTATTTTATTGATATGTGTTAGGCGTAAAACTTTTCAAATAATGTCCCTTTTTTTCTCCATCTGTTGTCTGAAATTATTTTCTATGCAAATCTTAAATTATATTCGTTATACATCTTCAATATCATTTCACTCGCTAATATAATCTATCATAATTATTTTGGTAAGATATTTGTGTGTACACTCTTGAAATGCTTTTTTCATTATTATAAGAAAAAGGGATATAATATATAGACTGTGAAACGCTTCCTAAAAAAAACAAAACAAAAAAGTATTAGGTATGCGAAATGTGAAATGAATAAATAAGATCATTTTGAATATGTTTAGAAAAATTATATAGCGTATAACGAAGAGACATGTTACTTTACGTATAAATCTTTAGCGTCATTATATGAAGCTCTGTGGTGCCTTGTGTTTATCACTTTTTTTTTTTTATAAATAAGATCTTGTGTGGTGCCAAATCTATTCGGCAGTTTCATTAAAATTTGTAGTAGACAAATTTACGCAAGTATGGACAAGACTTACTCTGCGCGTGTGTTCTAATGTCGTTGGCATTAATCTACATTTAGAATGAAATATTCTCGAAATTAGTAATTTAGAAAAATTAAGAACTAAAGTAATATATTTCAAATGATAATGATAGTTAATGTTTATGCATTCTGCAGAGAAAGTTCTACATATATAAAAGTAAAGTGACACTGTAACGAAATTGTGTTATTAAGCAGAATAATATTGAAAGGAAAGAAAAAAAGGAAAAAAAATGAAGAAAGAAAGACTTTAAAAAAAAAACCAAAAAAGAACAAAACAAAAAATTGTACTTACTCATTAATATAAAACGTTACTGCCTACGATACAAAGTGCACTAGTGTAGGAAGTAACAATAGTTATAAAGTATTAATTATTTTGAAACTATATTATAACAAAATAAAACCAAAAAAATCAACAAAAGGGGATAAAAAACAAAAGAAAAAAAATATTTTTAAAGAGAAAAAAATATTTTGGAAATTATAAAAAAAATAAAACATGTAGGAAATTAAATTGCGTTTATTATGTTTAAGTTCATCGCATTTTGTTAAAGTTAAGTTTAATGAGTACAACATAATAGTGATGAGATATAACATATTTTTTATATCTATATAATGGAATTACAAGTACCTATTTGGGTTAATGTGTGGTGGTATTATGAAAGAAAACAATCATACTCTTCTTTATTATGGTGTATGCATTAATGACTTCAACAATTGCATAAGATTTAATTAACTTTCTCTCGTTAATTTGCTTCTATTATATCTGATTAGGTTTTATTTTTCTTTTTTCTTATCTAATTGAATTTTTAATTGGTGTCTAAAACTCAATATACATTCTATAATAATTTCAAAATGTCGAATAACAAGATCTAATCAGATATGTGCGGTGGTACAAATATTATATCAAATATTTTCAATAATTATTCATATATATATATATACACACACACACACACACACACACACACATACAATGACACACATACACACACACAAATTCCTATATACGGATAAGATGGATAAATTTCAAGGCACCTATGTTAATTATATCCATTGTATAAAGTCTATTCGTATGTTGATATAAGCATATCGTAGCTTAAATTATTGCATCTTCTAAGACGAGGAGTTGCAACGAAATATTCTAGTCTTACACCCGATTAGTTCGTCTTTATTTAAATTAAATCAATGATAATATATTAAACAAATTATTAAAAAATTAAATTTAAATTGTACAAAATCTTTCATAACAATTATAACAATGAATATCTTTATTATTATATCAAGTCTATTTAAACTATTTAAACATAAATTCTGGTCAAATGTAATTGCTCTACTTAACTGCTGTTATACTTATATTCACATGCATGTAATACTAATATTATTGACTATTATTTTATTTTAATTATTCAGAAAGTATTTGAAATTTAGTAAATTCTATAATTTTGCAGTATTCTGATAATCTTTTTTCTTTTTTCTTTTTTGCTGAATAGCGTATACAATTCTGACCCAAGTGCCAAAGTATTTTCTAAAAAAAAGAAATTAATATA